TCTTGGAAGCTCTTGGCTCCTACCAAGTAACATCTATATTGGTAGCAAACTGCCAAAAACGACTCTCCTCGATAGGAAGACTTAACAGATTGTCTATTGTATTGTGTGCGGAGAGATTGGATAAATCCAACCTCACTCACAAGTTGATAAAAATATTCTTGGAAGCTCTTGGCTCCTACCAAGTAACATCTATATTGGTAGCAAACTGTCAAAAACGACTCTCCTCGATAGGAAGACTTAACCGATTGTCTCTGGTCTGGATTCCTGACCATACTGGCGTGAAAGGCAACGAAGCTGCTGACTCTCTTGCAAAGGAGGGTGCTGCAAGCGGCTTCATAGGACCAGAACCTGTCATTGGCATCGCTTTGAACTGACGGAAGGCAGTGTGTGTCGCCTCTGTCTGGAGTTCGGCAGATCCGTACTCTTACCATCTGACCTGAAAGACCACTCACCATACAAACTAATCGGCTTCGTTAAGGAGCTGGGTTTATTTGGCCGAGTGTGAATAGGTGTGAGCCACAATGAACCCTTGTGGGTTGCGATGGAGGGTCGAATAGACCCACTCACTTCAACTTTTCGATCATTCAACACGATTTTGTGAAATTTTTTTAATGTTTTCTGGTGTTACTGCCTTATTTGAAAGTCCACTGAAGTCAGCAAATCAATGTTTAATTTTTGTTTCTGATTGAGCGGAGTCTTTGTAAAACTTCTCAAGACCTTGCTTCGCTTGAACGGTATTTTCCCATCAAGAAGCAGTGTAAAATCAAAACACGCAATTGTTTTCGATCCATTGTTTTGAAAATAAACAAAAGTAGTGTCACTCTTAGCACAATATCTCACAAACTCATAAGTAGAATATCATAAAATTTCAACATCATCCTTTTAAAGGTGGGTACTAACTGAAAAAACGGTAATTGCATTAAGACTATCGCCTTCTATGTATTAGGCTCGAGAATTTTCAGCCTAAGTAGTAGTCATGTATCATCTTAAAAAGAGTCAGAATTCATTTGGATCCGAAAAATCAACCCGTTTCATTCAATATGTAGCAGCTTGAAGTATCACTCATACCAAGTCAAACTTATTACTTCATTTAAAGACGTAACAATCTGAGATGACGCATGCAAATTAGTTTCGAACACCGCGAATCAAGCGTGCTAGTTGCTCTGACACGTAACACATAAAGCGTGTTTGTCAAGTAATAGGTCTCCCTCCATACGAGATTAATATCAGCGTTGATTTACGAAAGGCATTATTGAATTCTCTTCACCTTTAGACTGCGAAATTGAATATGTGGATACCCTAATTACTTTACTCGGGGTTNTATTCAAAATGGAATTCATTCTATTCGTCAATGTGAAATCAAGGATGGATGGGCAATATTTGACTGGATTTCCAAGAAGATCCTCTCGAATGATTATAACGGCCAGTCCAGCGGGAGCCAAATTCTTTTGGGAAGCTGCAAAAATCAAACCAAACTGAAGAGGGACAATGAATATGAATTTAATGTCACCATACTACCTTGGCTATATCTATTTTTTTAGTTAATATGTTGGAACACATATCGGCTACTAGAGGAACATTACCGGTTTCTGGTATAAAAGGGAATTCCACTCCTGTTGAAATGAATATTATGAATATATAATGATCAGTACTTCGAACCTAACTAAAGTTTTGTTTTGTGGCGGCTAATTTTGAGTGTTTTTGGTCGTAGTCTGGAAATTTTTATGTCTGACGTTATGTCTTCTACTGAGGTCCACCACAATCAACTGCGGTCTACCGCAGTGGTAGACGAAACGTCAGGCAAAAAACTTGCAGATCACGACCAAAAAACCTGGAGCTTTCACACACTATCTCGGGCCGTGAAAGTTTGCAATCTAAAGTTTTGTTATATTTTTCGTGTTGATGAAAAAGATATCGAAGACATTCTACGTTTGAGAATGTATATCGTTCCGCTGATGAGATTTTTTTGAAACTATTCATACTGACTTGACATTTCCACTTTTCATATTTCCCACATCTGAGCTTTGTTTCCTTTCATCATAATTTTTCAGTTATCATATGATAGCTATTCGGAGTTGCAAACTATTTGAGTTTGATTTCACAAAGTTAGGTGGAATTTGAAAGTGCTTTTTCAAAATATTATCAGGCTCCAAAATGGTACAGAACTTATCTGAGTCTAACCAAGAATAATCGTATGAAAGTTTATCGTTTGAACAAACATTTTTCTCACTATTCTTCCTCACATCACTTCTGCATATATTTGTCAAGCAAAACAAAAGACATGAACGGATATAGAAATGTGGGCCATTGGCATGGTCCAAATTGCAAATATATTTAAAAAATATTCTTACAATGTTAACAATGTGCTGTTGTATAAAACTGTTGGAAACGTGATTATGATAGAAAGCATTCTAAATAAACGAATTATGAATGAAAAAAATGTATCTATCTATATCTATATGTATATTCTATATACTATTATGACTGTGGAAGTTTGTGAGGATGGATGTATGTATGTTTGTTTGTGGTTCTTTCACGCCTAAACGACTGAACGGATTTGGATGAAACTTCACATGAATACAGCTTATACATCAGAATAACATACAGGCTACCATTTACGAAGGTTTTGTGTAATTTTGTTCATGATATAACGGAAAGTATTAAGTAAGTCGGAAAAATTCTTGCTCCCTATGCAAAATACTGAGCCATAAATACAACAGAATTAGATATTTTTTACAATGAACATTTTAGAATATTTGTCAAATTCTCAAACAAAAGATACAATTGTCGTTTTGAGTATTCATTATAGATAAACTTTAACTTTCACACTAAGTAATTTGGACGAATCGTTTAAAAGTTATCACGATAAGATTAACTTGACGCGACGCGTCGCGTCTATTGTAAGATAACGGGGAACGATGCGCGAGGGTAGGAGGGCGGTCGAGCAATGAAGCACCATCGCTAAGAACACGACCCGAACGCGGGCAGACGCGTCAGGGCAGACGTCTTTGACGGTTGTATTAGTTTTGCGAATTTCTTTAGAGGTAACATAATTCGATTCTCGAAGCTATTCATTACTTAGTGCAGTTGGCATATTTTATCAGTTACTGTATTTTAATGTAAAAATATAAATTGATAGATGTTGTCCGCTCTTATATTAACGAACAGCCAAAACTGAACGTAGAATTTATAAATGTGCAGGTAGGTTCTTTGTATATCGTAAATAAGCATCAAGAAAAGGAATCAGGAATTTCCATCACCAAGGGATGACAATAGGGGTTCAAATATTGTATTGGATTTCGTCAGTTTTGGGTTCATAAAAATATTGTAACTATTTGCTTGAAATGATCTGTCACGAAACTCAATGTGATAAACCAAATTCTATGCGGGCGAAATCGCGGGCAACAACCTGTACAAGTATAAAGGAGTTGAAAATCTATACATATTTTTTACCCCATCTCAACAGTTCAAGTTTATCACGTCTGTTTTTAACTTTGATAATTTGGAACAATAGCGAAATAATATACTATCTCAAACTTGAAAGCATTATAAAATTCAACGAGAGGAGTGAAAACATAATTTTCATTTCAATTGAAAACTGTTTGTATGGGTTTGGAGTGTATTTCATATAAATAAACTCACTCTACTTACCATCAATTGTATCATTATCACAGTAAAACACGTAAGATGCATTTGGGTTCAATTTCCATGTTTTCTGGTCAGGAATGGATCCTGTTTTGTCCAATTTAGGGGTGACTATGTTGACATGACCATGTTTTGTAGCTTCCTTAGCCGCCACAGACGACCAAGTTCCAGTCACTACGTAGTCGGCTATACCAGTTTTACTCATCAGATTCATAGGAATAGCAGAAAAAGCTCCTTGTCCTCCACCTTGCATGAAGAGAATTCGGTAGTTGGGAGGAATGTCTCTGAAACTCAAAATATTCTGAATGAAGAAATTCAATGCTAGCTTGTTTGCTGCAATAAACATGGTTCAACTTGTTAATTGAAATTAGAATACTATTTTTCAGCTGAATTTTATTGCGTTCACCATTTGAAGTGAAATGAGTTGTTAAAATGCTGTTGGAGATTGAACCATCAACTGAAGTAGTGATAAGCTTATTTCGTAAATTCCAAGTACGAAAGTACATCTTTGATATTAGGTGTAGCCAAATTTTAAATTGATCAAAGAATGCAAACTCTCACGGCCGGAAAAAACTATTTTCCGGGTTTTCTGGCCGTGGTCTGCAAGTTTTAATGGCTCGCGTTTCGTCTACTACTACCTACTGCGGTAGACATTATAACAGGCGATGTGGTAACGGTCGCAGTGCCTGAGTTGGTGCTTCTTTGTTCCGAACGTATTTACTACGAAGCTGGCATCTTTATTCATTTTTTTGACCTATCTGTGTAATGTAACAATTACTCAGATAGGTCATAATAATGGTTTCAACGCAGATACTATCCAGAAGTTAGTCAGGAAACAAAGCCGGAAAGTCACTCACAGATTTCAAACAGCCAGAAATGAAGAAATGGGTAACGCTAATATATTTTGGAAAAAGAACAGAAATAATCGCAGGTTTTTTCAGAAAAAACAATGTAGAAGTAGCATTTAGACCACATGCCAGGTTATCTCATTTCCTTTTCAATGCCAAAAGTAAGGTCGACAAGTTGGAAAAATCTGGAGTTTATAAGCTTAAGTGTCCGCATTGTAATAGTGTTTATGTGGGACGATGCGGACGAAATTTCCAAAAACGGAATGCTGAACAAGAAAGGTTCTTCAGACTAGAAAAAAATGATTTGACATTTTCAAACCATTCCTTGGCATGCAACCACAAGTTTTCGAATCTAAACGATACGGAAATTCTGCACTATGCAAAAAAAGGTTGCAAACTCAATTATTTAGAATCCTTGGAAATTCACAAGCATAAACATTGCGGGTGCAACCTGTTAAATGATCAAATCGATTTAATTTACTCTCCGGTTTTCAAATTGGCACATCCGCAAGTACCTGAATGGTATATATTGGCGAATGTAATGAATCATTGTCAGTTTATTGTATTAGTTTGAGAATGTTCAAATAGGACGAAACTGCAGTAACGTTAGTTACAATTAAAAGTGGTAAAAAACATAGAAATTTTCATTTCTCTTTTCATTATGATCTTCTACCACGTAGTAACGGCTACATCAATCAATTTATTAAACTTCCTCTTGACGATGATCACTTGGTGAGTGAAACACGTATCGGAGTGTTAAAATAACGGTTTGGTGTTGGAGAGTTCTGTTTTCCCATATTTTCAATCTTGATCGTTAATAATGAAAACAAATATCTGAAATTCCATATAGGTTGCAATCGTCAACAATTTATGATTTGGAAGAACAGAAAAGTAAAAGGTTTTGCACGATTGCTGGTGAATGAAATAATGTAATTTTGAATATAAGTAATTTTTGCATAAGAACCAAGTAGGTGACGCACACAAATATGCACCTCTTGTCTCATTTGATTTCATGTAAATTTCAGTTGTTAGTATTAGCTGAGAAAAATGAAAAATATACCGTTGACTAAGAAACAGCCCATTTGAAACGTCAAGTTACGCAACTTTATATTTTGAAACGGTTTCATTGAGATTGCCTTGTTTGTTTATTTATTTATTCATTTGAGTCAAATGTAGTAATTGAAGTTTGACCCTTCACCTGCCGACAGATTGATCTGAAATGTGGTACACACATTAAGTTTTGATGACAATACAATTCAATAAATTCTGTATTATTGTTAATCCAAGATAACCGCAGCTAAAAAATGACGGATTACATATTTTTTCAAAACTACCTCAATATGGGTATCAAATGACAGGGCTCAACTAGTAGAAGAAAAGTACACTATGGAAAATATGCAGATTCAATCAGGTCAAATAATCGCCAGAAATATAATGAAAAAATGGGGAGATGAATATCAACTACAAAAAATAACAAAAGTTTACATCCTAGTTACAGTTATGGAATACTGTGCTGTTGATATGAATTTTTGTATATTATTTGTGTGTTATAAGATGGCTTATTATTTCAAAATTATTGCGATAATAAAAGTGAACGGTACAATCAGCTTTAGATAGTATTTATAAAGTAGTTTCAATCTGCAATAATTGGTATTGTTGATTCACGTCCTTCTGATAATTTATTATCAAATCCACTACCAGAAATAAATTGACGAAATTTCAGGTTACCTGAATTTGATATTCGATAAATTTTTTGGAATCCTCTTCCTCAATAGTGAACTGTACCAGTTCAACAGAAGTGTTCCCTTCTTAGATTCCCGACTAATACGGCGAGAGGACAATTCCTTAATAACTTCGTGGTATAGAAAACCACGATCATCTGGCAGATTTTTACACTATAACTCTNCATAAAGCTTTAGCTCTATTATAATATTTAACTTTTATTTTTTAAATATATTTACTTCTCGAAAATATCTTACCTTCATTAATAAATAATTATTATCGGGGGCTTCTAATAAAAATTTATTTAGTTCCTCTCTTGAGAAGGTTTTTGCCTTATTAGGTTTATATCCTTGGTTTTGCCTTTTCAAGAAAGCAATTAGGTAATTTTGGGTATTTAATATCCATAATTTCTTTTATTTGAAGCATGGTACGTAGCATCGAATACTTGGACCACAATGTAGAGGCTTTTAGTGTATTTGCTAATATCGAAAAATATCCCAACATAACATTTTCTGAGTGAATACGAAATTGAGAATTGAAAAAATGTTTTTGGGGGACTTTCTAACGAAGAAATTGATTTGAGTATTTGTGAAAGTAACTGTTTTTATTGCAGAATATTCTGATAGTAAAGTAGGAAGATATAGTGTACCGAAGTGAAAGTAAAATACAAAACCATAGGATTGATGAATTCAATTCATATATGTGCGTCCGCCACTGGCAAGACGAAAAACAGTTTGACTTTTATAATAAATATCTACGTACTCACCTGATTTGGTAATTTTGAAGGTCCAGAACCAAAATTCAAAACATTTTCCACTGACGACATCGTTATTGATCAACTCAATTTATATATAAGTCTTTTCTGATATTCAGAATTGTCTGCCACGTTTAAAACACGAGAAACTTGACAACGCTATACTGCTATAACCTCAATCATATCTCCAATTATTATGAGTTTGCTTTATATTAACAGCGAAGTTCATAGGCGGGGTAATAATATATGAATTCTGTTTCTGTTGAAAACAAGTCTCTTAAACTAGTGATGCACTGTTTGAAACCTTTGGTGTAGTAATGAATGTTACTGGAGTTTTTTTAAACTGAACTGTTTTTTTGTCGCTCCCCCCCTAAGAAGGACAACTCTCAGAAATCGGAACTTTTGCGAGCTAAGAATGAACGAGGTCTTATCTTTCAGTAAATTGATGGATGTAGCGTTACTACGTGAGAGGATATCGTCATAAAAAATGAGCGCTAAAACTTCATGTGTTTCACACCACTTGTATTTGTAACTATCTGTTACTGCAGTATGTGTTACTGCAGTTTCGTCCTATAGGACATTTTCAAAGGAATACATTAAACTTATTGTTCCAACGAATACATTGAACATATTTTATTCAGTGAGTATCAATCAGTTTATTGTATTCGTTCTAATATGACGAAACCCCAGTAACTATAGATAGACAGATATACAGGGTGTAACTAAATGAGTGTAAAACATTTAAGGACGTGATTCCTCATCGAAAAAAAAAAGGATCTTTCATATAAAGAAACTTCATTGGAGCATCCCTTGTTAAGATACTGCCCCTTAAAGGGGGTACATAAAATTTGTATAACAATTTTTTTCACAAGCACTGAAAAAGTAACCTCTAACATTTATTTCCAATGTAACTTTTTGTCTTATTATTTGTTTACCATTTCTGTTTTATTCTAAACAAAAAATGTCTCTTGGGTTTTTTGCCGAAAATAAACCAGTTCGCAGCAAAAAATTATTAACAGAATGGCGGATTACATATTTTTTCACAACTACTTCAATATGGGCATCAAATGAGGCTTGACTAGTACTATAGCAGTACATTATAAAAAAGATTCAAATTCACCATAATGTATATAAAGAACTTTGTCAACTCAGAATCGGGATACAAGCATGGATCTCCCATCCAAGTCAAGATTTTGTATCGTGTCGAGGACTGTGTGGCTAGAAATGATACTTCGTTAACGACACACCATCCAAGTTGAAGTAAAAGGTTTAAATGTACCGACAACTATGTGGCATTAGGGTGAATGAATATTAGAAATTGAAAATTTGGCAAAAAAAATATATATTGGAAATTGTTTTATTGTGGAATGTATTAAAAACTGAAAAATACTTTGAAAGGTCCTAGGTACCAGTCACCACACCACTCTCCTCAGCAGTCTACGGTATTGATTCGATGAAAAAATATTAGAATTTTTAAGGGTTGTATTAACATATTCACTTAGGTTATTCTTTTTTTTTATCTGCTCAGTAGATTGTTGAGGAGAGTGGTGTGATGACTGTTACCTAAGGACTAAGGACTTCAGTTTCGAGCACCTTTTTCAATGAAACCGTTTGAAATAAAAAGTTTTTTCAGTTATTTTATTTATATCTGATATTTAATATTATTGATTATTCATAATAAATGATATAAATTAATCAGAAATTTATTACCAAAATATTTTGATTCCTTCATTACGTACAATAATTCAATTCATGACTACAACACAAGAACAACCAATCAATTCCACATTTCCAGGACAAGAACATAGCAATCTATGAAATCGTTGTTTTTCAGAGGATTGAATGATTTTAACCAATTACCATGCCACATTAAAGACTCTGTTACTTTATATTCATTCAAGGCTCAGTTGAAAACATATATTACATCACGTACTCTATGAATTTTCTGTTTTTTTTAATGTTTATGTTTCACATCATCGAATTGTTTTATTAATTCGAGCTTTTATGTGCTCTGTATACATTGTGTTACATCGTGTTACATTGTGATACGTTAAATATTTCATTACCTACCCACTCGAATAATTGTTTTCATGCCCTAGTATAATTGTAATATGGAACTAACTATTCTGAATACTTCTGATTAACGTATTTTATTGTAAAAAGAAATTCATCCAATAAGACACAAACAACGAAAGTAAGTATACTCTCGGACTTTTGTCTCGAAAACAGGAAGTAACGTGATAATCCCTCCCAAACTTTTGTGCCTACATTCACGTGAGAAAAATTTCAATGCCACTTTATTCAATATGAAGAAAAGTTATTCGTATGTGTGTCAACACGGTTTCAAATGTACAACACATGAAATTGTGACTTCAAAATCGAGTATAGGAAGTTCTTCTTGAATGGTGTTATATGGCTGAAATACAATACTGAAATTCTAGGTCAGTTCTACTGAAGTTGCCAGTGAAGTTGCTGTCCGACAGCAGGAAACTGAATGGGATATGGGATTCGATTTAACGTCTGTCACATGCTGGAATCGGGAAATACACTTGCTTCCAGTTGAATTATGCTCTGTTCAGCATGACTATATCATGTAGTCTG